TATTACTATTGTTCTATAATATATATACACATATAGAGTCACTGGACATGTTCCTAGAAGTGCTGCAGCTTGTGGGACTCTGAAAAATGGTGTTACGCACAGTGCTGTTTTACACTCCTCACACACAAAATGAGTGTCTCAGCATTTTTGTGGGTGGTTTGTTGTGGTTGTGGCGTGTGGGTGGTTGTAGGTGGCCTTTGTTGTGAATGTGCTGAGTCAGCAGCATGGCTACCAGCCTGGGGTACTGCTGGTGCTACCTGACACATTACTGCTGCTTCATGTATATTATCCATCCCAACTGTAACATTACCCACTACCCATACTGTCTTCCCCACCACCCACATGGAAATAAGTCACTCTGCCTTTTTTGAGTTATCCTAGGTTCTTCACACACATGCTGCTATGTATGATAATCTATGTAACTGTATTTGTGTATACCTGAATAAACTTACTTATTCTTTAACTCCCCTTGAGGGTCCGTGCCGTAGATCTACGGCTTTACGTTGAGGGTCCAAACCGTAGATCTATGTCACGAGCTCAGCTCACTCTGATAAGCTGTGAGCGGTAAATTTTGGCCTTGATATGAGAGAATACATCTATGTGGTATGTGTGCACCACATAAAACAAATCCTGCAGCACACAGTGCAGGAGAGAAAAAACTGAGACCGTAATTTTTTATTAAAACAGCGACTTTGCAGTGTTTTTTTCTTATATTTTTTATAGTTGTATTTGCAATTTCTTGGTCTCATTTGATAGAATGGAAGACATATTACAGAAATAGAGATGATTTTGATTGGTTTTAGTACTGGAAATGGCTTGAAACTGAGCTCAAAGTAGTGGAAATGTTAAATTTTTGTCGATGTTCAAGAGTAAACAAATGACTTCACACGTCTAATACACGCCTGCTGGTGGGTCTAATATACATTCACAAATGTGCTGATATTATTTATACAATTATTACAATATTGCATAACAGTAAATCTTCTGTTTTTTGGTTTGAATAAAAATTCATTATGTGAATAAAAAATCAAAATGGAATTCATTAGTAAAGCTTGAAAATGTAACTAATGAACAGAGGAAATGTTAGTTTAGTGCCAGGAATGCCTGCATTGTTTATTCTGGACCCTATTTTGAAATTGGAGTATTTTGAACTTTGCATTAAATTGGCCAAATTTCCGATCACTTTATTTTGTAGTTGAAATAGTTGACTTGGCAAATTCTTGTGCTCAATCGATAGAACAGAAGTAATACTAGTGAAATAACTAGAATTTGGTCGACTGGAATAATGTAATCGGCCTAAAATGGGAGTCAAAGTCCGCAAAATCGCTGATGCATAAATATCGCTGACACATCAAAATTCGCAAGAGCATAATTTTGTCAATTTTCCAACAAATTTCGTACTTTTTGTTTTATTACCTTCAGAAAAAAGATTCTCTGCCATTTCATAAGAAAAAATAACAATTATTTTTTGAAAATTCTTGGACACTGGAGCACCCTTTGAAATTTGGCCTCTGGACCCTGAAAGGGTTAAGACATGGGAAAATATGAGTTTCCTCTTTCGCTGTGGTACAAATGAACATGAACGAGACTGCCCAGCACCAGAGGTGGAAGGCTGATGGTCGTATGGGTGTTCAACACTATTTCTGGTATCCTGGACATTGCTCAAACTCCTCAAAACCATGAAATTCATCTTCATTGACACTTCCATCTGCGATAGAACTATCACTTGGGGAAAGGAGAGTCCTAATTCACTGGGAGTAAAGTATTCCTTACCACGAGCCATGGTAAACAGGGACTACTGAAATGGCATTCGCATAATGCACCTCTGGCTCCCCAATTTTTTTTATACTGCGCATACTGACTGTGCAGACCCATTCTCTCACATGTAGGTCTATCACCTTTCTCCTGCTAGATCTGAAGTTGCTAGAATTTTGGTGTAGTATTACGGCACCAACACTGGCTTGCAAGCCAAAGTACTATGGCACCGACAGTGAAAAGGTTAATTCTATATCCAACTGAATATTACCTAGCATTATTATGCACTCAAAATTTTACTAGACAAAAATTTAATAGGCAATTTCTAATGTACTTACAGTATGTAAAAAATTTTTTTATCATTACACACTTATCCATTTATATATCTTCCTTTCTCCTTTCCTAAATTTTGTCTAGAACTTGAAATACATGTTAATTGCACTCTGTGATATCTGCTTTTATCTACTGAAACTACAGTACGTAATTACATGTACTTCACATTTTTTATAACCAACCACTTCCTCTGCGATGTCAACAGAAGAAATAGTGCAGGGGGAGCTTTTATTGTGACAGCATTTTGCATTATTTACAGCTTAACCCTTTGACTATCGCAACCCCCAATCCTGAGGTGTCTCCTGGTCTCGCAAAATTAAAAAAAAAAAAAAAAAAAAAAAAAAAAAAATTCTTATGAAATGATAGAGAATCTTTTCCCGATTGTAAAGACACCAAAAAACCGAAATTTGATGGAAAACTGACGGAATTACGCTCTCGCGAAGTTAGCGACCTCAGCGATATTTACAAATCGGCAATTTCGCTCACTTTGAGCCCTATTTTCGGCTAATTCCATTATTCCAGTCAACCAAACTCATAGCTATTTCTTCAGAACTCCATTTTTTTCCATCGATTGAGTACAAGAAACTGCCCATTTACCAATCTCAACTACCCAATAACATGGTCAGAAATTTGCAATTTGGCCAATTTCACGAAAATTAAAAAATATGACAATTTCAAAATAAGGACCAGAATGAACAATGCAGACATTCCTGGCTCTAAAATAACATTTTCTTTGTTCATCAGTCATGTCTCCAGGCCCCTGTGATATTACTCTTGCTTTTTATTTTGAAATTTTATTCAAACAAAAAATAGAAGATTTACTGTTATGCAGACTACTGCAATACTGTAATAATTGTAAAAATTACATCAACCCATTCATGACTGCATATTAGAATGGCTATTTGGACATTTATTGGACAATGACATCATTTGTTTACTTTTGAACATCAGCAAAAATCAAACATTTCCCCTACTTTGTGCTCCATTTCCAGGTTCTTTTTATAGTAAAATTAATCAAAATCACCGCTATTTCTATAATATAGTTTCCATTCTATCAAATGAGACCAAGAAAACGAGAATACAACCACAAATACTGTACGAAAATAGACCACAAAGTCGGCATTTTAATTAAAAAAACTGTCGGAGTTTTTTTTTTCTCATTATGCACTGCGTGCTCCAGGATTTTTTT